GAGAGAGAGAGGGAGAGAGAAAGAGAGAGGGAGAGAGAGAAAGAGAGACGGAAAAGGGGAAAGGGAGAGGGGGAAGGGGAAAGGGAGAAAGGGAGAGAGGAAGTGAGAGAGAGAGGGAGAGATCCACAACAAAGAATGACCATCTCCCAGGATTACTTGGTAGTTTGCTTTTTACAGTCTTAGAACAGAAATGCTCCAGACAGACTGCTGCTAGGCAACAAGACAGAAAAGCAATGACTGCCCTACTCCACCGGACACTGTGACACTGTGGTATAAGACCACCAGGAAATATGTGACTGGTGTCCATAGTTACTGACACGCCTCCCAGGCCCAGAAATTCAAGTATAAAGAAACCTAAGAGTTGTGCCCCAGTATCCACGAGGTACTGGTTCCAGGAACCCCCCCCCCAGCCCCCCCATGGCCAGGATACCAAAATCTGCTGATGCTCAGGTCCCTGATATAAAATGGCACAGTGTTACCTATAACCTGTGCACAGCCTTCTGTACATTTTAAATCATCTCTCGATTACTTAAAATACCTAATACAGGGTAAATGCTATGTGAATATGTTTGCTGTACCACTTTTATTTTTATTGTTTTTTATTGTTATTTTATTGTTTATTATTTTTATTATTATTTTTATTGTTGTAATTTTATTTTTGATTTTTTTTTTCCCTGAGTATTTTTGACTCCCTGTAGGTTGAATCCATGGATGTGGAATCTGTGGATATGGAGGGGCAACTCTATGGGGCTGAACCAGGCTTAGCCCTACCCTGCCCTAGTTTTTGGCTCTTGGCTGAGTTAAACCCAGGTGAGCTGTTTTTAATGTGCAAACGTCTCACAGTTCAGGTTAGGCTTTGTGGAGTATCTCTTAGTCTGTGTAAAAAACTGTAATAGTTACAACAAAAGACGTAAAGGAACTCTTGGCAAATGGAAATCTAGACATGAACATGTGGTGTGTGTTCAGTCTATAAAAATTACATCCACTTGAGGAGGTGTGGGTCCACTGTGGGGCTTCAACTGTATTTGGGGAGCTTGGCAATCACCTATTTTCAAAGAGGACAATTACCTCAAGAGCAAACATCCTGTCCATCATGCTCCGCGAGGAGGTGGCATCGGCCACAATGTGGACCTCCACTCCTCGGCCAACTAGCTCCAGGGCAGTTTGCTGGATGCACACATGAGTCTGGTAGGAAAGGAACAGTGACATGTGATGACACAGCAACCCAGAAGTGTGTCACAAAGGTGCTGCAGCCTGACAAAGCAGAGTGAGCACCACAGACCTAAGAGCCCCTCTCGACATCCAGCTTGGCCTCTAACTAGCTGGCTTTGGCTTCTTCCTTTCTAAAGTCAGACACGACTGGTATCAGTGTTTCTGAAAAGAGGGACTTTAACTACGTTCTTAGAGTTTTGTGAGAAATGCTACAAGATTTTTCTCTGTGTCACCTGCATGACTTTCAGATCCTGGCTACTAGCACGTGGATTTGGTGCCACTTGCATTATTTGGGTTTACTTCTGCATTCACAGCAAGAGCCCCACGTGAGAAGGGGGCCTGCAGCAGAGCAGACAGGCAGAATAGCGGGAAGACTGAGTCGTGACAGGGCCCCTGGTAGGGAAGGTAGGCCAAGTTAAAAATAACTTGCAACACTGAGGAAAAACACCCAGTTCACATCCCCAGCAAATGGATTATGCAGATCCCAGCTTTGTAAGTGTTATAACAATTCATTAGCAAAAAACAGAGAAAACAGTTTCAACAATAAATGAATTGTATCTACAACCTAAGCACATTTCAACAATGCCACGTCAACCTTATCTTCACAAGACTGGAGTGTTTTGGAAAACGATCAACTGACACTTCATTAAGATTAGCATTGGAGGACTGCCCAAAGATAATTTTGATTAAGCATAAGGTCTAATTCTGATGAGAAAGCAAAAAAAAGTGCAGAGCCGGCAAAAGCGTTTGCTATGACACATTTACACAAACAGGCTTCCTCCACACTGTCATCACTGAACTCAAACTACAGAAATAGTTAACATACATCCACACTGGCTATAATAGCTTTCGACTTTTAAAACCTACAGCTATAAACTCTACTTTGAAAATATCATAACTATATTCACATTATAGGATTTTGATTTGTTTTTATAATTTTGTTCATAATTTTTTAAATTTTCCTTTAATAGTTATTTAAAAGCTAGTAATATATTAAGTAAAATCAGCATTAGGAATTTATGAGTTTTTTTTTCTTATAAAAACATATTTATGTAATTCAAATTCGAAGGAAATGAACTGCATGACCTGTAAGGTTTTACTCGCACAAATGGATGACCTACATGAAATCCTACAATTAAGACATAAAAGTAACGCCTTGTTAAAACTATGTCATGGTTAATAGCACTATTAAAAGTAGTGGTTAATAGCTATAAAGCACACAGGTCAGTGTCATGCAAACAGTGCACATTTAATGCACGCTGAAAGTTTTTTTTAATCAATATTACCACCTACATGACATTCTACATCCCAAATTACATTCAGGAAATATTTGGTTTTCTATAAAGCACATTGTGCTCAAAACATAACAACAGGTACTTACTTCTACTCCAAATAATACCACACTCCTGACTCCAGGAATCTCTGCTAATGCTGCTTCTACTTCTGGTAATACCATTGAAAACTTGGTCTTTGGAAGTACCAGTTTTACACCTGTTAAGTCAATTTCTTGAACAGTGCTTCCCAGACCTTTAGGGTACTGTTCCGTTACAATCACTGGAATTCCTAAAATCCGGGCCCCCTGCAACTGAAAAAAATAACCAAACACAAAAATAATAGTTATGTACATATGTGTGCATATATAAATACACATCATGCTTCAGCAAATTGGAAAAAATAAATACACGAGCATACCAATCTTTGTCCCACGCTAATGATATCCCCAAAATACTTGATGGCTGGTCTGAACCTCTCCTGCATATCACAGCAGAAAAACACAGTACTTGAAGGTGTAAGATTTCCCAGGGTAGTGAGCTGAAGAGAAAAGAAAAAAGAATGATTTAGCACTTGTTATACAATGACATTTATATTCAATGGAGGTCACTCAAGGAAGAAAAAAGTCCTATTGTTTTAACCCAGTAATTGAATTTCTACAACTATTATGCAAAAGAAAGTATCTAAATTACAAAAAAAAAAAAAAAATTACCCCAAAAGATATTCTCTGAACTGCTTTGAATAATAAAAGCTAAGAAAAAACCAAGGGCCAACAATACAGAAATTGTTTAATTTCAGCTAATTAAAAAACACATAGGTATATATGTTCTCAAAAAATTAATACCAGTGGGCGGCACCTGTAGCTCAGTGGGTAGGGTGCCAGCCACATGCACTGAGGTTGGGAGGGTTCGAACTCGGCCCAGGCCAGCTAAAAACAACAACCACAACAAAATAGCTGGGCATTGTGGTGGGTGCCTGTGGTCACAGCTGCTTGGGAGGCTGAGGCAGGAGAATCACTTGGGCCCAAGAGTTAGAGGTTGCTGTGAGCTGTGATACTACAGCACTTTACCCAGGGCAACTGCTGAGATTCTGTCTCCAAAAAAAAAAAAAAAAAATTAACATCATCTAAGAAAAATTATGTTTATAATATAATACAACTACAGTATTTGAAAATATTAACAGTGATTATACAATTAAAAGTGTTGATAATTTTTTTCTTTGTACCTTACATTTCCCAAATGTTAATTAAATACATTTCCTGGATGTTATTTAAAAATGTTCCTTTTGTAATCAGAAACAAATGTTAAAATGCTAAAAAAAAAAAAAAAAAAAAAAAAAAATAAAATTTGATGAGAGCACTGCTTACAAGTACAAAAAGTAAAATTTAAAGTAATCTGTGGCACAGACGAGGGAACATAAAAATTAAACAAACAACAAAAAAAATAGATATAAATCCAGAGCAAACCCAGAACTGCTGCTTTCATCACGACAGAAATATTAAGATGCTATTCTTCAGCATAACTTGTGGAGTTCAGAAAACACGATGAAATGAAATGCAAGCACATTATCACTGGTAAATGAACTGTCTGTACTTCCAGAGGAAGAAACCTAACTTTGACGACTGCACTCTTAAAATGCATTTATCACAATCAAGAAAGTCAAGGAAGGCCAGCATGGTGGCTCACGCCTGTAATCTCAGCACTCTGGGAGGCTGAGGCAGGTGGATTGCTTCCACTCAGGAGATTGAGACCAACCTGAGCAAGATCAAGATCCTGTCTCAAAAAAAAAAAAAAAACAGTCAAAGAATTAAGATAAACATTGAGTATTAGATTACCAAACTTCATATTAATTGCTGTACTTGGTCTCCTATAACAATTTGGCCCAGTATGGATCTACCAAATAACATCAAGATGAATATGAAAATTTAATTTCATTGAATTCTTTTTTTTTTTGAGACAGAGTCTCAAGCTGTCACCCTGGGTAGAGTGCTGTGGCGTCACAGCTCGCAGTAACCTCTAACTCAGGCTCAAGCAATCCTCTTGCCTCAGTTTTTCTATTTTAGTAGAGATAGGGGTCTCACTTTTGCTCAGGCTGGTCTTGAACTCGTGAGTTCAGGCAATCCACCCACCTCAGCCTCCCAGAGTACTAGGATCACAGGCATGAGCCACCAAGCCGGTCTTAATTTCATTGGATTTTTAAAAGTTCATGGTGCAGGGCAATGCTTATGGCTCGGTGAATAAGGCACCAGCCCCATATAACAAGGGTGGAGGGTTCAAATCTGGCCCCGGCCAAACTGTAACAACAACAACAACAACAACAAAATAAAATAAAAGTTCATGGTGATCTTTCTACCACCACAAATTACAAAAAGCTGTGTAAGGGATACATTCTGATCTTAAATGAACCAGTGTCACTCCTCAGATCTCCCCTTTAATTATCCTGTTTTACTCTCCTTCAATCCACCCACAGATAAAAATTATTAACAATATTCTGGAGCAGTCTATGGCCCAAAGACAAGGTGGTGCCTTCGCCACCAGCACAGCCACACACCCTGCCTTGTCATCTGTGCATGTGGCAGACACCAGGGAAACAACTACCACATGAGAAAGGGATCATTAAAAGAAATCTTTTATGCTTAATGACACACTATGCTAATTAGCTTGCACTTTATTTGATCTATGTCCTGGCAGGAGGGACTCCAGCACTTCAATGTCCCTCTGGTACTTACCCTATAGATGGGTATTGATATAACATAAATAATGAAACACCAGATGCATGTTACAATGTGAGAGCCACAGGTAAGTGAGTCTAATAGGGTTTTCCTACTTTTCTAATAAAGTATGATTAAAATATTCAAGAATCTTACATAGTCTTGTCATTTCCTAATTGCTTAATGCAAATATTATGCCTCCGTTTTGGTCATTTTTTTTTTTTTTTTTGAGACAGAGCCTCAAGCTGTCCCCCTGGGTAGAGTGCCATGGCATTACAGCTCACAGCAACCTCCAACTCCTGGGCTCAAGCGAGTCTCCTGCCTCAGCCTCCCAAGTAGCTGGGACCACAGGCGCCCGCCACAACGCCCGGCTATTTTTTGGTTGCAGCCGTCATTGTTGTTTGGCGGCCTGGGCTGGATTCGAACCCGCCATCTTAGGTGTATGTGGCTGGCACCTTAGCCACTTGAGCCACAGGTGCTGAGCCCGTTTTGGTCATTTTCAAAAGCACCAGGTATGATATATACATATAAGCACTGCCAGAAAGGCTAATCTTTGTATATTTAGGATACTACTTTAAAAAATAATCACGATTTATTTATGACTATGTATCTTAAATTATCAGCAAACTTTACATCTTGGCTCAAAATCTACACATTTTCTTTTTTGTACATGTGACTCCGGGGTTCCCGTCACTCACAATGTGTTTAGGGCACACTGTATAAAGCAGTTTATATACAACTGGCCTATGGGAAATAACCGTAGTGCAACTCAGCCAATCTCACTGTTCTGCCAGAGGTGGAAACCAGAACCTCTGCAAAATAAAACTCCAGGGCAGTTACGTAAGTATACACTTGCTCAGAATTCCAGCTCCCAGATCCTATCTCAGACTGTATTGACTAATTCTGCAAAATTCCTAAAAGGTTGGGTTGTCTGAATGCTAAATTCACAAACGGTTACAAACAGCAGATGAGAAAAGTAATTGCTGGGGGTAGACAACCTAATAGCTACAAGAAATGACAGCTAACAGAGAAAAGATTCAAAACACAATAGCAACAGAACAAAACTCTAATAGTTCTACAGTCCAGGCCTCTGCTAAGGAAGTAACAAGCTGTTATAAATTAAGAAAACATCATACCAGCACATTCATTTTAAAAATGTTTAATGACATAGTATTTCAGAAGGACCAAACTGGTCAAAATATTTTTGAGTTAGGCTATATAAATCCTTACCAACTCAGAAATCCCAAACGGGCAGAGTTGTGGCCTCTGGGAGTTCTGATTGCTTGGTGCTTCCAGGAACCTCATTTTAGCTGTGAGGTGTCCTGTTCTGAACAGGGGATCACATTAGATATATGTCCAATTAGACACAAACTGAGCAGGTCAGAAAACGCAGCCCTGAAACCCTCACCACCCTGCAACATCTTTCTGTTACAGAAAAGCAACATCTATCAACTTTCAGTAATCAGAAAAGAAATCACACAGGCTACAGTGGCAGGGTGTGTTGATATGCTAAGACTGGTTATAATGCAGTGAATCAAAAATAAATGCCTTACCTCTCTGCACCCCCCCAAAAGTGGGGAGTATCTGTGTGAGGAGTTTAATTCCCCATATTCCCTTGAACGCAGCTGCACTTAGTAATTTGCTTCTTACGAGTGGAGAGGGAAACAGTAACTTTACAGTGGAAATAGCTGGCTAACATGTCTTCAGTGATCAGCATCAATATAAATGATGCCATGTTGATAGCGTGTACCCTCCATATGAGGCCATGACAATGACCATCAGGAGCTTCCTCTCAAATCCCACAGTCCCAGTCCAACCATGAGAACTACATCAGACAAATCAAACTTGAGGGATAATCTACCAAAATGTCTGAACTATACCTCAGAATGGTCAAGGTCACTGAGAACAAAGTCTGAAAAACCGTCACAGCCCAGAGGAGCCACAGGAGACATGACAACTGAATGAAACTGGTTCTTCAAATAGAAAATAGCAGATGTAGGGACAAAACAGTGAAATCTGAATAAAGTGTGAAGTTTAGTTACTAGTCATGCACCAATGCTGGTTCCCTGGTTGTAACCAAGGTACCACAGTAATGTAAGATGTTACAACAGGAGAGCCTGGGTACAGGAATACAGGAATTTTCTGTACTTTATTTTTCTGTACTGTACTATAGTAACTTCACTGTAAATTTAAAACTATTCCAAAATTCAAAGGTTATTTAATTACATATATATTTTAAATGGCCTCCCTGTGCTATTGTGGTTGGGGGAAAGATGCTGCTTTACCATTCCCTGCAATCCAGAAGGGAGGTTCTGAGGCTACCAAAAGCAAACCAAAAAATTCTAACCATGTCTGGCCGATCTGCCCAACCCCGACCCCAAATCCACTTGAATTCCGACAGGCTGTTAAAATGATATAACTCTCTATAATTCAGGAATTTTTATTTTAAACAACTAAAAACACTACCAGTCGTCAAACATTTATATGTCACAACTTGACGAAAGCCCATCTGTCATAGCAAATAGAAAATGACATGACCAAATTCCACCAGGAGTAAAAGTGTATCCACCGCCGAAAAATGCACGAAATTACATATAAATGTGCGTGTGTGTATCTATACACCTTCATTTATCCATATGCCTTCATAAATTCCTACACATACATATAAGGAATACACAAATACCTACATTTAAACATTAAAAAGTTGATCATGGCTAATGGCTTCCTCAACAAGCATTTAAGAGATTAATGTACAATTTTTTTGTCCACTCTCTTAAGAACTGTCAAGGCTGAGACTTGACCTTCAGCTTCATATTCAGAAGACTTTCCA